ATACAGATCTAGGGTTTCTAGAATTTCTCTTGATAAGACACCATGGGCCATGCAGACTGGAGGGAACAAAGAGCTGGGGTGGGGATGGACTGGAACCACACAGGACCCTACTGGTGCCACACATACACCTCCCATTCTGTTGGCACTTTATAAATAGCAAGAAAAATGATTGTTTGGTGAAGAAGAAAGAGCAACTACACAGATATGCCTGCTTCTGCTTCCACAGATGAAGAAACCCTAGAAGCTAAACAAGGACACCGCAACTGCCAGCTGAAGCCATGATGGCCACCATTTGCACTGTGTTCTAGCAATCCCAGCAACAACCCTCTCTTCCAATAAAAGGAGTCTCATTTTAAAGATGAGGCAGGTGGAGGGCCTCCCTGGTGGCACAAGGAGTTAAGATGCAGCCTATGAAGCTATCTGCAGCCACTGTAGCATGAGTTCAATCCCCGGCCAGGGAGCTACCCACATGGCACAGCAGACCTCTCCTGACTTGCCTGCTGCTCCCCTCAGCAGTGTATTTCATCAGTCTGCCTGTTCTGTTCCCCACTCTGTCTGGTGAATCCTCTCACCCCTCTGTGCCTCTGGCCTGTACTCCAGTTCTTGTATGCATAAATAAATAAATCTTAAAAAAAAAAAAAAAAGATGAGGCAGCTGGAGAACAGGAAGGTGGCGGGACTTTCAAAATTCCATAAAGGATAACTGTAGGAAATTGTATTCCCAAAAGTTTGTATGACACCAAAGTCCATCCTGTTTTAACATCGCTGTACTACCTCTCTAAATGCCCTGTCCTTGACTGGGATACACTAATTTCCAAGCACTTCTCAGGAATCTTCTCCATCTTTCTTCATTAAAAGTGAAGAGAAGGTTTTGCCCTATACATATAGGCCATGGTCAGTCCCTGCCCAGGTCAGTCCCACCACCTGGCAGCTTCGTGTGTGCTCCCACTCACACAGATCAACTGCCAGCTGGTGGCTACAATTTGGAAAGTTGGTTGCAACATTCCCAGAATCTCAGCCAAGTACCTGCCACCCTCAGAGGGCCAAATCTCCTCTCTCAAGCTTGGAAAACCTTTCGCCTTTCTGCTTTGTTTCCCTTTTTTAGCTTTTATTTGGAGCAGAGCACAAGCCATTTCAGAATTGCAAGAGATAGTTTCCATGGTTCCAGCAACCCAAACACTGAAACGGAGTCTCAGGCTAGAAGCAAGCGTGCTGCTTCCATGTGGGAAATGCCGTTGCTCTGCCAAGTCTCCAGAGGTGTCCTACTCCTTAAGTGAAAGACACTGCAATAAGCAGGCATCTCCGTACCACACACACTTCTGAGGAAACCATTCTACAATTGCCTTGGGATTTTTCAACCACCATGTTAAGAAGGAAAGTTATATATTAACCAGCTGTATCCCCAGTACATCTCTGTTGATCCCAAAGGGAGTGATTAAAATTTGCTGACCACTTTAAACTCTGTCAGGGAATAGTGAAAATAGTTTAAGTTTAATAATTAACAAAGTTTTAAAACTAAAGTGAAATTCGGACACTTTTAAACTTATGTCATTTTGTTGGTTAATTCTAAAATTCCAATTTCACCACTTTCCCATCCCCACTGTGATTTGGCAGGAGAAGCAAAAGGACTGGCAGTAAATAGATGTGAATTTCAAATCCAATCGATTGCTACCTTGTTGGTATAATGTTAAATAAAATCCATTAATTCAACACATTTATTGAGTGCTAACTGGGCCAGGCAGAACTCTGGAGCTGAGGGTCAAGACTTAAAAACTAGTGGATGAGAAAGACATTGAGTGAGTAATTACACTAATAAATGAATAATCAGAAAACTCAGAAAAGAATAATGTGGCAGAAGAGAGTTAAACAGAGGCACCCAATCTACTCTGTGGGATTAGGGGCGGTTGCCCTGGGAAATGACATTGGAGCTAAGATCTGAGGCTACCAAGTGTTTTCCAGTTTCTTTATCTCTCTCATCAAACTACAGAAAAAGACTGAAATCTCACCCTCCCTGTGCTGGAGGTAAGCACCCTTTCTTCCAGTTATGTCCTGGGCCTCATCTTTCTCTACACTCTTGGTTTGGGTCATTTTACTCCAGCGACTTCATAAAAACTTCTTGCCCAACATTTCCAAAAGTTAAACCGCTGTCCTTGGGTGCCCTCCCAGCACCTCTATCATCCCCCCAAACCTGTTCTTCCTCTTCTTCACGTCTGTCATTTTGCTAACACCATCACTGGATTTCTGTCAGGTGATGCACGTCACTCTCTGAATGAAAAGTCCTCAGTTGTTGTTCATTGACCACAGAAGGAACTAAAGCTTCTGGGGATGACATGCAAGGTACCCATAATTTATCACAACTGATCTTTGTTCCTCCAGACTAGACACCCCCAACTCTCCACAATGAAGTACTTAAGGTTTCCTGAAACTGCTACCATGTTCTTTCACAAGAGTGTGATTTTATACAAGCTATTTATTTATTTATACAAGAGCTGGGGTAGAGGCCAGAGGTGCCAGGGGTGAGAGGATTCACCAGAGACAGAGTGGGGAGCAGAACAGGCAGATCGACTGAGATACACTGCTGAGGGGAGCGGTGGGCAAGAGAGGAGAAGTCTGTTGTGCCATGTGGGTTAGCTCCCTGGCTGGGGATTTAACTCGTGCCGCAGTGGCTGTGTGTGGATAGCTTCATAGTGTTGAGACTTATCCCCTTGCACCACCAGCGAGGCTGTACAAGCTGTTCTTTAGTTTAAAATGCTTTCTCCTTCTAGTCTCCTACTAGAATGAATGCACATTCATCCTTTAAGAACTTTTTTAATGTCACCTCCTCTGTGAAGCTGGCCCAGATTTTTCTCAGAGAACAATATTCTCTCCAATTACATTACCTAGAACTTCATGCATACGCTACTAAAGCATTTATCCTAGGTCACTAGTATTAATTGTGTATGACTGTCTCCCACATTAGCCTATGAGTACACCAAAGGCAATGACTTGTATAACTCATATTTTATTCCCTTTGGGATAAGATGTGAGATGGGAAGTAAATATACATTGAATGAATAAATAATGAATTAATGAATGGACCACTCTGTGGCATATGCTGCTTTCTACCTTGTATTATTGTTGTTTTGGTAGCTCATCTCCCTTCCTGGATTGACAAATCTTCCAGGGCCAAAACAATGGGATCCACTTCTGCCTACCCGACCAGTCAACCCTAATGCCTATTATTTCAATAAATGAATAAAATTCTTGTAGGACTTTGTGAAATGTCAGACTTTGCAAAGCTATTTTCACATACATTATTTCATTTGCCCTTCCCATTGTCCCTGTAACCTAGTTATGATGAGTTGATGTTATTCTCATGTAGCATAAGACCCTGCAACCCTGCATGGTTTTTAGAACAATGCCTAGTTCATGTAATGTTCTTGACAAAAGACAGATCTACTCATCAGCTCTTTGTTTTGAGAGTTTGGGGATAAATATAGAGCTTTACCACTGCTTGTTAAAATAGCTAAATCCTTATCTACCCTTCCTGGATGAGTTTAGCATGAATAATTTCAGTGAGTTTGGGGGATGAATCAGAAAGGGAAAAACTGAAGGATCAGAACCCATGAGACATATTTTGGGCAAGAAAAGGACTTTGGGGCCCTGGAAAGAGAAACTTTGGCTTCCATAAGATGGGGTGCTGTGGAAGGCAGCATCAAGGAGGACTTAGTAATAGTTTATAAAACACATAAATAGATATGCTTTTAAGTCCAAGTTCCTCTAGGAGAGAAGATGTCACAGAAACTGAAAGAAAACTGAATGTATGTCACCCTGACCCACATCCCCAAGGGCAAGGTGTTGTGCTTATGCTATGCGTCTGTGATCTGACCCAGAGGTGAGGAGGGCTGGAGTGTGGGGACCAGCATAGGACCAGGGGCTGCCCCAACATCCAATGCCTTTATTTCCTCACCAGGCCCAGGAGAGGAAGGGCACCGCTGCCTGCCTCACAGAGAACATGGCTGATTCCTGCGTAGGGCCAGTCTGAGACAACATATTCATGGATGTTGGAGGTTCCTAATTATTGCTCAAATGCCAGGAGGACTGGGGCGTTTTGCCAGAGCAACCTCAGGGGTCCGTAGGACTGGTGGTTCTGGGAGCATTAGTTATTCCCCCTGGCCCCAGCCCACAGGATCAGATCAGCCTGACCCTGCTAAGAGGATGAGCTTCCCCACTGACTCCATGCCTCTTTCTCCTTCTGGATTCTGGCTTTGGGGGGCCTCTGCTGTGCATAGAGCCTGTGTGGGAGAGGGTAGTCTCTGTCCCCATCCTGCCAAATATGGGCTGGATCAGACAGCCAAGTTTCTCCTCCCTAACTCTGTTGGGTGACGTGGCTACCCCGCACTGGGGTGGAGAAGAAGAGGTATTTGCCAAGAAGGCCCTGCAACCCCACGCAGACCTATGGCAATAACAGGACCGCAGAGAATCGGAATCAGAAGGGTCTTTGACAGTGGATGGTCCAAGGATCCAAGCCCTTCCTTCTGTCCCCGGAGCTGTTCCAGATCGTTTTCCCGGTGCCAGCATAACATTCTGGTATCTAGCCAGATCCAAGCAAGTGTCCAGGTCGGGCAGGAGAAAACAAGTGACATTTACTTGGGGCAAACTACTGACTTTTGCGCCACCTCATTGGAGTCAGGAGCCTCCCTGCCCCTTTTGCCCTTGCTCTGAAAATTCCAGCAAGCACGGGGTTGGCAGCCTTCCGCGGAGAAGTTCAAAGTCTGACCCCCGGCCTGCTAACAGACTTCCAGCCCCGGGCTTCTGTCCAGGGGCGCATCAAATCCTTTCCCAATGGGAGGGCTCAAGGCGCTGCACTCGGGACCCGCTAGACTCCCGCCGGCGCCCGGAGAGCCTCGGGGCTCCTGGAAGCAACCCCCCCCACCGCCGCTCCGCGAGCCTCCCCCACCCCCGGGGCAGCCACCTGTCTCCGCGCTGAAGAAGAAAGGAGGGCGCGCAGCCACGACTGACCTGAGATGCCGCCCCCCACCACGACCACGTCATATTTGCTGCTCATGGCGGCTTTCCTGTTCCGAATAGCCTGGCTGCCCGCTGCTCCGGTCTCTGGTCTCGGCCCCCGCCCGCCGCGCTGCCCCAGCGCACCAGCACCTCCGCGGAGCCGCTATATTGCCCGCCCAGGGCGCCCGGGCGCGGAGCCACGCCTGCTGCCGACGCGCCGGCCGGGTGGAGAGCTCGGCCCCCGCCCCCGCCCGCAGCCTGAGCCCAGACCTGGGGGGCGGGCTCCGCGGCCAGAGGTCTCCTGGGCCACCTAGAGCCCCTCCCAGGAGTACACCCCCTTGGCCTCCTTCGGGGCTTTTCCCCATCAGCGGCTCTACCTGTAGGAGTCACTAGCCTCCCTGCCCGCTCTCCCCCCCAGAGCTATTGAGCGTGAGGGCTGGAAGTATGGCAGATTGGGGTCGCTTCCTCCCGTCCCAACCTTCCTAGCATGAAGCAATCTAGGGGCTAGCCAACATTAATGAATTTTCCAGGTGCCAGATACCATACTAAGTGCTTTATATACCTGTTTGTAGTTCAGCCTTACAACGGTCCATTTTACAGATGACAAAAGCGAGGTTAAGTAGTTGGTGTGGGGCGATGGTAGGATAAAAAGCCCGGAATCAAAAACAATAGTCTGGAAGATTCCAAGACCCGCTTTGATCCACTGTACAGTATTGCCATTATCGTGGCAAACACTTGTGTGGGATTTCCAGCCCTGCTCAGCCTTCTTGCAATACCCATTTGTTTCCCAACCCCTACCCTTAGGCCTGCAATTAACTCAGGCAGTCTTTACTCAGTATTGCAAATGCAGGACCTAAAGATAATCTTAAAGTGCTTAAGTTTTGCACGTGATCAAAATAGCCAAGGGCTTCTAGAACACCCTAGTGTAGAGGGGCTGGAGCTAGAACCCTGGGAGGCAGGGTGGAATTCAGAGCACCCCCGAAACAGCAAGGGGAGTTATTTAAGGTCCTGGGATGTGAAATCAGGGACCTTAGCTTTACTAAACATAGGGGTGATTCAACAAGTTAACAAGTATTAAGCTGAGAGACTCCAAGTAAAACAGGTGTATTTCTTGAGAGCACTCGACAAGCCACCTCTGAGAACTGAAAGTGGAAACAAGCGACATAGGGTGGCTTTTCAAGAAATAATTGTGTGAATTACTTCAGCCTAGGGAAGCTGCAGCTCTGCTGGGGATTGGCTTGAGGTCTGCACAGATGGGCGCCTAGAGCAAACCACCTCATCCACTCCTGTCTGTGTATCACTTACTACCAAAGTATCCTGAGTTTCTAATGCCCTCAGACTAGAAGAGAGTTTGGACATCCTTGTGTTTCAGTAGTCATTAGTGGCAGAGAAAGGCTTAGTTCATCTATGACTTGGATTCTAGAAACTTCCATCCCTCTTGCTTTGATATGAAATGGCCCCTGAGTCTGAACCTTGAACCTCTGTCCCCACTGCCTCACCCTGCAGTCGCATAGGCCTCTTCCTTGCCAAGCTTTACCTACTACCTCTCTTGGGAGGACCCTGAATCAGTGGGCTCCTTAACTGTAGACACTGTCCCATCATCTAGCCTGCAAGTGAAACTCATGTCTGTGGGAGGGATGGGATGTGTAGAGTAGATCTCTGTTACAGGGGCTAGGGAAGGGGAGGAGGTCAGGTAAGACATTTATGCAATTACAAATAACTGGTCTCTCAGATAAGCATTAACAAATTTGCCTTTCCCATGTTTCTTGCAGTTCCCCCCTGTTTGACAGGTTTGTCTTCTTGCATTCCAAGGAAAACAGAAGTTATGGAAAACAGCAAGCTGGCGCCATGCTGATCCCTTCCCCCTCCCCTTTGCAGACCCTTGCCCATCTTCCCCTTTTTCTCTTTTGTTTAAACACCCCTGCACTCTGCCCAAGAGCAGGACTGTTGTCTTTCAGGCTTGAATCTTCTGCCCTCTACATTTGTCAACAGATTAAACCACTTTCCTTTTCCTGAAACTCTGTTTCCTTTTGTTGGCTGAGGGAAACTGAGGCTGGCGTTTGGTAACAACACTGCGCATGGTATAGCAGGAAATCTGCACACGCATATTGTTTATGGCCTGTCTAATCTGAGTTACTTTTCCAGCCCAAAGACACATCTGCAGTGCGGGGAGCCAGTGCTATCTGAGGGCCAGTCTCAGCACACAAGGATGCGCTTGAGGCCAGGTGTCTAGGAGAGTGATAAGGAGCTCCCAGGGCTGGACACCACTAGTTCCTGGCAGCGGTGAAGGCCTGCTTTCTGTTGAGCTCTCTTTGTTCATCTCATTACAGAGAGTCAGCTGGAAATGAAATGTTAAGCTGGTTTCTTGGGGGTGTTAACTCCCCATCTTCCAGATTGCAGGCTGTCTGATTAAAGTGCTTCTTAAAGATTCAATTCCTGTCTCTATTTGGCATTTGGTGGTGACAGGTGGCCTGAACTCCAGTCTTATTGTTATAGGGCAGCCCCGATATTGAACGGGTTGCCTGGCTGTGGGTCCTCACCCACACGCTTAAAAGGGACTTATTAATACTCCACTACAGGCACACACAAAAGGTTAATAAAAGGTTTATTTACAAGGGAAAAGGAAATAAGGAAAATGTACAACTCAGGGAGAAAATAGGGAAATAAAGTCTTTAATGCTTCCTACCCGATCTGCCGACCTGGAAACCCAAAGGCACTCTCCGAGCTGGCCAGATGCTGCGAGCTGGCAGAGAGTCAAAATGGGGGACCCCTCCAAAGCCCACATGTCTGGCTTTATACCAACCTGGCTGCTTAACCCCACCCTCAGGTCCCAGCCACCTTCCCTTTGGTGGTGATGGGATTTGGAGTTCCCAGTGTCTTTGGCTTTGGCCTGGGGTGGGGGTGGAGTGCACAAAGCCTGTATGGAATTAGCTTTAGGACATCCTTTTCCCCCTAACAATTACAGTTTCATTAAGCATATTTCCTTCTAGGACTGTCCATGTTGTTGCAAATGGCAGGATCTTCCTTTTTATAGCCGAATAGCATTCCACTGTGTATATATACCACCACACCTTCTTTATGCATTCATCAGTTGATGTGCATTTGTTTCTGGTTTTTGGCTATAAAGAAGTGCTTCTCAAAGTTGGACATGCCCACAAATCACCCAGGTCTGGGGTGGGGTGTGAGAAACTGTATTTCTAACAAGCTCTGGGTGATGACATTGCTGCTGGTCTAGGAACCACACCCCTTAAACTCGTTCTCCTCTACTCCGGGCCTCTGTTTCCAGTCAGTTTCAAAACCAGCTCCATCCTCCAGGGCCCCTGACCTATCTCAATGCCATCCCAACAAGAAGGTACTTATCACTTCACAAGCATTTATGAACACCTGCTAGGCCTGGGGAAGAGATGAGCAAGATAGATGCTGACCCTGCCTCTTAGGGCTCATGGTCCATCAGAGACAGCGTCAAAAAAGAGAGAATGTGCAGAACAGGCCAGGTACCATACCTCAGGGAATCACAGAGGACTTCCAGGAGGAAATGACTTTTTTGCTAGACTTGAAGGATGAATAGGGTGACTCAACTACTGAGGAAGATGAGAATACCAAACAGATTTGCGAGGTAAGCCTGACATAGAACACTGGAAAAACTAGACAACATTCAGTACATAAAGAATATCTTTGGCCACCCTTGGGAACTATTGCAAGCACTGCAAAACTAATAGTGGATGATAACAGTGAAAGATAAACTGAATAAAATGGTTCGAAAGTATCATTTATTTTCATATGTGGTTGTGTCTTTTCTTCCCAAGTAGTTAATAAATTCATGCAAGAAAGGATCATGCATTAACTTTTCTTCATTTGTTCAAGCATGATTTATTGAGCACCCACTCTTGGTAGGCACTGTGTTCATTGTGGGAAATATGCCTTTAAAAATAATAGGGCCTCCCTGGTGGTGCAAGGGGTTAAGCACCGCACTTACTATGAAGCAATACGCAGCCTCTGCAGCACGAGTTCTATCCGTGGCCGGCCCGGGAGCAACCTACATGATGCAGCAGACCTCTCTTGTCTCACCTGCTGCTCCCCTCAGCAGTGTATTTCAGTCAGTCTGCCTGTTCTGTTCCCCACTCTGTCTCTGGTGAGTCCTCTAACTCCCCGCATCTCTGGCCTGTATCCCAGCTCTTGTATGCATAAATAAATAAATCTTAAAAAATAATAAAAATAAAATAAAAATAAGAAATAATGTAAATCTCATGAAAACAGACAATTACATAAACCTAATTCAATTTCCAATCAGGAAATGCTCAAGACCTCTACCAAGAAGCACAGAGGAATGCTGTTTGCCCCAAGCAGTGTTTATTTGCCTTTCCAAATTGATGAAATCCATGTTTCTTTCATCACTTAAAATGAACTTACTTTCCTTTCATTTTTTATTAGAAGACTGCCAAAGAGATAAAAATGTCCTTATTACTTCTTTCTTGCTGTCCAGTTTTTCATTAACAGATATTCCAGCGAGTCTTTTATGATGCCACAGGAGGTTTCAATAAAGAGACAAGCTGTGCAGAACAGACTTCACCAGATGTTATCTAAGTTGTACCTTTTGGTTTTTTTTTTTTTCACTGCTGGAAGCTTGACAGGGAATGGAAAATTTGTTTTAAAATTAGATTCTTTACAGCTTACCATTTTCTTTTCACCAACTTCTCTACACATCTTTTTTAAATATACATTGGGAATCAAATGATGAAAGGGTCAGCACTGCAACCACAGCAGCTCTTTAACACTGGGAAATTGGGGAAATTGCAAGTGTTATAGGACTTCTAGTTTGGACCAGTGAAGTATCCATCATCAGCTTCAATCCTAATCTCAGAGTATACAAATCCCCAACTCTGGGACAATGAGAACGTGGTGAGGCAAACTTTCAATGGGCCAACACATTGCTTTTGGCCTTAAGGACTTGCTTAGAGGGAATCATATCCTCAAGCAGCCGGAGTTGGGGGCACCCAGTTTCAATTCAAGTCAAAGCCCTTTTATAAGACATTGGGCTAGAGACTCATGAGCCAATTCCAAATGTCTGTAGGCTGTTTTAAAATGCTAAAGGAAAGACATACCCCAGGGCCATGGGACTATTCAGGATCCAGAGCAAAGTAAAATTGAC